GGGTGGCGGCCGGGGCCTCCGGCAGGCTGCACAGCATCGTGTCTCTCGGCAGCTAGCTCTCCGGCTGACAGTGCAGACCTCCAGGCCAAAGGCAGGCAGGAGCAGGAGCCAGCGGCTGAGCGCAGGTGCACAGTCCCTCTTCAGGTACCTGCTAGGGCTGGCTGGAACCGCGGCCCCCAGGTTGGGTGGAATCTCCAGCCTGCCAGACTTGACCTCCTACCTCCTGGGGAGTCAGGCCTAGAGGGAAGGCTCCGACCGTGGCCTGGCCCACCGTGAGACCCCTTTGGGGGAGGCAACGCGAGCTGACGAAGCACGCATCTATTCCCAGCTTCACTCTGGAGTCAGGAAACAAACTTCTATTTTAAGAGGATCTCGTCTGCGGCTGAACGTTCCGGTGTGACACTGAATTAGAGGGCGGGGCGGTGGCCGCGGAGGTCTGAGGCGCACAGGCAACCTCCTTCCCGAACAGGACGGTCGCAGGCTCTGGGCGGGCTGCAAGTCCTGCTTCCCGGGCACCCTCGTTCGTCACTGGTCCTCGTTCGGCATGCCCATGTGTTTGTTGGTGAGGAAGTCCAGGAAGGGGATGCTGCAGATGGCCTGGTGGATGTTACTCACTGTGATTTCTTTGGGAATCCTGTCCAAACAAAGAGCACCATCAGGTGTCATTCTCGCAAGCGCCGCTCCTAATCGAGCAAAGGGCCCAGCTCTCCATGGGCTGGGTGGAAGGGGATGATGAGTTAGGGCATGACCAGGTGGAGGCCAGGTGAGCCTCTCCCCCTGCCCACTAATTCCACCGACTGTGGAGAGAGCCGACGCCCTCGTCACCAGCCCTGCTCAGGCTCGAAGCTAACTGCTCAGCCAGGCACGAGAAGGGGGTCACAGACTGGCTGAGTGGTTCAGAACAAAGGTTCTGAGGCCCAACAGAAGAAACGGGAAGTAGAGCGGAAGCAGCACACGCCGGCACGTGTGAACCCGTTCCCAGGAGCTGCACCGCGGAGTGAGCACCACAGACTGTGGGGACCATATTTCCTGTTTCCTGGGGAGAGGGGGAGAGTCAGGCCACGTGCGATGCCAAATGTTCCCATCAAGAGCACCTGTCACTCTGCATTCAGAATGACAGCCACGGCGGCGTGTGGGGACGTCAGCAGGACAGGAAGCAGCACGACTACGCTCTCCTCTCCCTTCCTTTTTCTAGAATTTTCTGTGGCTTGATGTGTTACATCCCTGTGAAGTCTGATCTAATATTCCTTCAGTTTAGGCCTCTTCCTGTCCTCGGGCATTTTGTTACCATTCTGTAAATTTGTGATAATCTGTAGCACAGTGGGAAAAAGTAATTATTCTTTTATTTCTTTTTGGTCATACAGCGTATTTGCTCGCCAAGACAGAGAGAGGCAGAGAGTGAGGAATCAACCCCCGGAGGATGGCCACCGAGCAACCTTCTCCCCACTCCCGGCAGGATGCTGGGCGCACACACACCTGGGCTGTTTCTCAAGCTGTAAGATCTGGAACTGAAACAGTGGAGCTGGCCACGTGGGACCCAGCACCATAACCACACCATCTGTTGGCCCTCTCATGAATAAGTTTTTAAAGGCACCTTAAAAAAATAAGAGGGCCAGCTGGTGGCATGATGACTAAGGTGGCTGAATCCCACACGGGCAACCATGCGGTTCAGAGTTCCAGATCGGAGAAAACACCAGGCACAGGGCCAGCAGGTGGCCTGGTGGTTACGGTGCTGAACGCCCTCATGGCCAACTGCGATTTGAATCCTGGACACAGTGGCTTGAAAATCATGCCAGGCGTACATGCCCAAAACCCAGAGAGGAGACTGGAGGAGGGATTGCAGGGTGGCCATCACCCCGGGGGTGATCTCTCACTCTTCTTTATTTACGGCCAACGTACGCAGCCTATGGCAAAAGCCAAAAAAAAAAAAAAAAAAAAAAAAAAAAGGAAGGAAAGGGACCACACCAGGCACATGTATGTGAGCACCTGAAATCAGAAAAGGAGAGGTAAGAAGGGGGTGCAGGGAGGACGGAATTGTCGGGCCATTGCACTCCCACTGGACAGGTGTGGTTTGAGACCCGGACCGTGTGGCTTAAACTCACGCCGGGTGTGTGCGTGCGTGCCCAAAACCCCGAGAGGAGAATGGAGGAGAGGGGACTGCGGCGTGGCCATCCCCCGGGGGTGATTTCTCGCTTCCTGTCTCTGGCAGCAGCACATGCTGTATAGCAAAAGTCTCTAAGGAAAAAAGGGAGTGCAATGTGACCATCCCCTGTGAGGGTGCTTTCTCACCGACCCCTTTGCCCTGGTTTCTTTCCTGTGAGAACACATGCCCTTAAAAAACAAAAGAAGAAAAGAAATCCAACGTGTCCATGAAAGACAAGTCACGGCCTGGGCAGAGCGCAGCGGTGGGCTGGGGGGTCAGGAGGCCGCGGTCTGACTGCAGGTGCACTCGTGTGCTGCCGGGGAAGACCGTGTGTTCCTACAGGACAGCAATCGCTCTGCAGTGACAAGGGCGGGCGGGCGACGTGTGACACTTGGCCCTCACGCCTGACTTACAATGGACCCGCTATCGGCTGCACCTGCAAAGAGCTGGTTCTGTCCGACCTGCAGCGAAGCAGAGTCCTAGCTGCCATGGAGAGTGACTGGGGAGACTCGAAGCTGACTCTCGCAAGCAAGCGTTCTCTCTTCTCCCAGGATGACAGCAGCCAGACAGCAGCCCTCCAGCCCTCCTGGCTCTGGCTACGGGCGACGCCATCCCCCACTGGACTGAGTATAAAACATCCTCACGAGCAGTTAAGCTGCTGGAAACCCCGAGAGCCTCGCGCCGCCAACCACAGAGATGACAGTACCTGTTGTGAGCTGCCGCCTGGTACCCGACTGCCAAGGCCTGCCTCAGGATGTCACTCACCAGCTGCTCCGTGGCCTACGAGGGAAGATGACGTTATTCTCAAAAACGGCCATCCACTTACTGGTGAGAAGGATGCATCTAACCTCTCTCTTAATCCCATTTTTTTTTTAAAAAATAACTGCAACTAAGGATAAAAAATTTCTTGAAAAAGCTGACCCTGTAGCCCAGAGGTTAGGGAAGCCAGAGCACACATGGCTGACTGCACTCCGAGTCTGGGCCTAAAGGCCTGGGAAACACCCTGAGTGCATGTATGTGCCTGGCCCGGATCCCAGGGGACCGCAGTGACCACGCCCCACCGGAGGCGCCTTCGCCCTCCCCGTTTCTCTCCAGAAAGTACACCCACCCTCATGCAATTAAAAATAAATAAATAAATAAAAAACAAACAAACAAAAAACACCCCAAATTTAAAGGTCTGAATAGACCACAAATGATACAAGGCTATGATTGAGAAATTATGAATCATAATAATATTCATTAAAATCAGACAATTAAAAATGGTTTATTTCCATTTATTATTGTTGTTTGACTTTGGCCAGATAGAGAGAAAGGGAAGTGAGAACACTGCCAGGTCTGAGACTTGAGCCGCGGTCGGCCACGTGGGATCCAGAGCCTTTAGCCACCATGCCACCTGCTGGCCCCAAAGCAGGACAATGTTTTTAAGGGAGACAGAGATGAGCCAGTTCCTGAATGGCCCGTTACTGGGGGCATGCCTCAGGGAAGGAACTGCTGAGCTGGGTCAGGCCTGGTCGGAAGCTGTGCTGTTCATCTCCTGGCTGAGGGACAGGACAGCTGTGGCTGTTTCTCTGTGGCTGTTTCTCCGTGGCTGTGGTGACGTGTAGAAACAGCAAGGCTCTGTCACTCCATCTCCTCAAGCGATGAGAGCACCAACTCTCGGCCCAAAGCACCTCTTCAAAAGTTCTTCGGACAGCACTAAAAATATCTTTAGAGTGGAATTGGCACAAGAACGCTTGTATTTGCTTCAATACTTCCTCTGCTTCAGAGGAAACACTATTTAGTTCACTTAAAAATCTGAAGAAGGGCCAGCAGGCAGCGGGGTGGTTAAGGCACTGGCTGACCATAGTTCGAGTCTCAGACATGACGGCTTGCTTTCCCATTTTCCTTCTCTCTGGTGAATGTGTGTGTTGTAGAGCAAATTAAAAAATAACAATAAAATGAAGTAAATTTTAAAAAATCAGAAGGAAACAACCCAAGTAAAATTAGAAATCAAAAACCTCTTGCGCTGGTAGGTAGCCTAGTGGTTAAGGGAGCTGGATCCCACATGACTGGCCGCAGGTTTGAATCTTAACCCTGGTGGCTTGAAAAACACACCAGGTACACGTGCATGCGTGCCCCAAATTCCAAAAAGATGAGAAGTGGAGAGGGGACTGCAGTGTGAACATGCCCCTGGGCAGGGTACACCCCCCAACCCCCCCCCCGCACGCCCAGGTGTCTGGTGAGTGCGCATGCCTTCCAGCTATTAGAAAACAAAAAATAAAAAACTGGGCCAGCAGGTGGCATGGAGGTTAGGGTGCTGGATCCCTCATGGCCCACTGAGCAATCTGAGTCCTGGACCTGGTGTCTGCAAAGTCACATGGGGCATGTGTGCATGCGTGCCAAGACCCAAAGAGAATGGAGGGGCGCTGTGGGGAGGCCATTCCTCCAGGGGGTTATTTCTGCCCTTTCCTGTCTGTCTTTGGTGAGTGCAAAACTACAAATAAAATAAGATAAAAATAAAAACCTGTCCTCATTGCTTTTCTGTCCTTGCTGCCATCCCACTGCCCTGCCTGGCCGGCCTCGCCATGCTGCAGGCCAGGGCACAGCTCCCGCTCCCGCCACCAGGAGGTACCCACCTTTAAGATCATGTCCTCGACCACGGACGCACACACCCCCCTGTCCAGCGCCACAGGCTGCAGGGCGATTCCAATCTGAAAAAGCAGAAGAAAGCTGTTGGCCCACGTCTGTGTTAAAACCAGTCCAAACAAGCGTGCCTCTCCGATTCCCAGAGAGATGCCTGGCTGGAAAAGGGCTCTGCACGCTTTCTGGACGAGACTCACAAGGACGCCACACAGAACGGAACGAGCACAAGAGCGAGGCGTCTAGGTCCTCCATGTTTCTGAGGGTGTAAATGCTACTACAATCCTGTTCTTCTGCATCTCCTTCAGGAGAGCATGGGCCAGAGTGCTGTGAGTTCTGGTGAACGGAATCAGTATTTTGGAAAATCTGGAATTGGACTCAAGGCCCTGTTTACAAAAGTGAGAGATGTACTTGGAAATGAGGAGCTGCCCGAGTTTCCAGTTCATGTTGGAGGAGAAAGCGCACTGTCTTTCACTTGAGGTCCTGGGCGGGTGGCAGGTGCTGAAGAGTTTTAACTCTCAGCCAGGATGGACAGACAGCCATCTCCTACACAGGGCAGGGCACTGGGGCTACCAGAACACCAGGGAAGATTACCCGCTCCAGCAGAACTCGGATGCACTGGCACCGCCTCACGAAGGAAAGGCAGACGAGGAGGCTGGAAATGATCACCCTGTCCAGCCGGCTCGCATGGAGCCCACGTTCGACAAGCAACCTTTCTACGTGGGACTTGTTCTCCTGCCCCGGGCTCTGATGGGGTGGGGGCCGGTACAAGCCCGAGTGTCCGGGCGGAAGGGAGGCATACATCTCACCACGGGCTGAGCTGGGCGGCTGGGTTCACGGGCTGGGCGGCCCACACCCGGCTTTGGTCTAGAACACCACAGGCCACAGCGCCTACCTTCTGAGTGACGTCGCCGATAAATTCAGACCCTGGAGTTGGAGGCAAGTAGAATTTCACTTCTTCTTGTTTCTCCTCCTGCTCTTTTTTGATGTTCGTCTTCAGTGGCTCTGAGAGGTTGAGGATGTCCACCTCCTCCTCATTCTCCGGCTCTCTCTTCTGAAACTGCTGCAGGTCCTCCAGCTTCCGGCAGAGGTTGTCGGCAGAGGAGAGCGACGACGGGCACTCTAGGCGAGAGCAGGCGGCCTGTGACCGCGTGGTGGCGCGGGAGGGGCCGCTGACCACTCGACCAGCAGTCTGGGGACAGGGTGAGTCTCGAGGGAACTGACCTCCTCTCTGGTTCCAGAGTTCTGGGACCTACCGTGAGGCCTAGGAGCCCACGGGCAGGGAGGGACAGGACAGGTGCCTGCTCTGAGCGCGCGGCACTGCCACCAGCATCCGGCAGCTCCCGCCCGAGTGCTCCTGACTAAACTAGTTTCTCGCCTTTTAAATCTGGAACATTTAGAAATGCACAGTGAAGAGCGTGTTCTCGCTGTCCAGAGAGAACGGGTCTGTGATTATACGCTGCCTTACGGGAAGCAGTCTTAAACGAAGAGCATTAGGACTTGAAAGCCTTTCACTTCGCGGATGAGCTCGCGAGGCCCGGACCAGGGACAGGACGGGTCGGGCACCCGCGAGGTGGCGGCAGAGCCTCTAGGGGTTCTGTTTTGCTGCCTGGGCGCTATCGCGTCAGTCAGGCCTGGTCAGCCCCCTGCACGGAAGGGACTGCTTTTCACACTGAGTATTAATGGGGCAGGGGGCAATCACTGCGGGCTTTCTCTGAAGAGCTTGGATAAAATGAGACTTAAGTCTTAAAAGGACCCACCTCTGTTCTCTGGGTTCCCTCTGACTGGAAGTAGAGCTTCGGTTTTTCTTTACAAGTAGGCTTGGGCAATAAAACCACCCTTATCCTTTTAGATGACGCTCAAAATGTTCTTCGAACAACCCCTTCCACAACACAGCCCTCGTCTACTCCTGTATCATAAAACACTTCATCCTTTTACTTTCAACCTTGCCATAGGGCAGTGTGCTCAGGAGGGAGGCCGCACTGCAATCCCTTCTTCCTCCATTCTCTCTCAAGATCTTGGGCATGCATGCACGCGAGCTTAGCATGGTTTCCAAGCCCGTGGTCCAGGACCGGACCGAGGCGGTCGGCCATGGGGGATCCATGCCACCTGCTGGCCCAGTTCCTAGCTGTTGGCATGGGCTCCAACACTGGGTAGTGGAGCAGGCGAGTTTGGCGATAAAGTAAGTTACGACACAGACCCCGTCTTCACGGAGACAAAACTGACTTGTGTATGGAGCGTACCGAGATCACGGAGGAAGGCGGTCACTTCTATCTGGAGGAAAGGAGGGGAATTAGGAGTCTTCGAAGGAGAATTGGCGCTAGAGGGAACGGGTGCCTGCTGACAGCACGGGCTGCGATCCTCCTGGCTGGGCACGACACTGGGAATGCCCGAGCACACACGGTTCTGCACAGCAGGGGGCAGGGCGAGAGGCGTGCAGAGGCGCGGCTCTCGGGGCATCTTCCATGCGCTCAGGCCCCATCCTCGGGAGGAAGGAGCTGACGCCTGCTGTGTGGCAGGGGTCGGGGAGCTGGGCAGGCAGGAGGGATCCGTGCTGCCCCCGGCCTACCTGGCTCACTGTCGATCTGGGTCAGCACATCCTCGATGGAGTCCCCGTCGCTCCTCAGACTCTCGGGGTCGGGCGGGGTGTAGCCGTGGCAGCGGCACCCGTGAGCGGTGG